TTTCCTTTTTTTTTCATTTTTTTCTTTCTTTCCTTTTTTTTTCCTTTTCCTTTTAACTAATCACTCAGTTAACAAGTTAGCTTTGTGAAGCTCAGGTCGGTACCTAGTGACTGTGAGCGTGATAAAGAAATCAGCCGCCACCGATACAGAAGTCAGAAAGGTTTAAATCAAATCATCCTCCACAACAATGACATTAATTATGCTTTTAACACGTTTTACTGCTTTTTTTCTCACTTCACGCCACATCTGTGTGAACAATATCCAAAAGATTTACGGTTTTCTTTCGTAATTACAGACATACAGGCTGCACACTTATCAAAATACTTGCTGAGCAATCACGCCATATCGCATTCTCTGCCAAAGATTTGTGTTGGCAGCAGTCATTCAAAACAAAAATGTTGAATCAGGACTTGTGTGGCTTTGGAGGGGGGTGGAAAGTATTTCGACAAATAATTTGCCTGTCAAGAAATATAAAAACAGGAGAGTGTGCATCCTGGCAAATTTTCTAGGAGTGTTATTTTTCTGGAGGGGGTTGGAGCAGTGTGTGTGTGTGGGGGGGGGGATAGCGAGCAGGGAAGCTCCGAGCACCAAAAACACATCTGACATTTGGTTCTTGTGTCTGAGGATAAAATTTAATGAGACAAAAATATGTCTTCCTAATTCCCCTAAGAAATCATTAAAACATTTTGTTATTCTTAAATGTCTCGAAAATGAATTAGAGCCCCTAAAGGGGCCGTTCGAACGGTATGTCTCCATCAGTTAAGGCTCCTTTTCTCCAACTCAGTGACAGCTAGGGACGTGCGTCTCCCCCGCCTCTCCACTTCTGGGGAGCAGAGTTGGGAAATTAGACGCGTGGAGTCAGCACCAGACTTGGAACGACCCTTTGGGGAGAGGGCAAGAGGGCATGAGGGCCTTCTGGAAAGCTCCGCACCAGTCCTGGGACCTCTCACAGTCCCTGGCTGGCACTGTGGCCCTGTGATTGTGTAAAGTGAACCCCGGAATTAACGGCTCTTTGACAAGCAAGGGCCATAGCCTCTCCTCACCCTCAAGCACTAGACTTGCTGGTGCTCCCCGAGGTTTGCCACTAGCGATGATCATTCGAGCGATGATGTGGTCACCACTGCCACCGGAATGCAAGCTCCCTGAAGGCCGGATTTGCATCTGCAGGCTCACGGCTAGGTCTGCAGTGTCTAGCAAGTACCAGGCACACGGCAGGTACTTGATAAATGCTCTCTGAGTAAATCAACATGTGACAGGCAGAGGGCTTTAGTTGAAAAGGCACCTTTACATTCAAATGCCTCTTCCCCTCCCCCATTTCTATATCTGAGTCTTACTTCTAATTCATTCAACAATTATTAGGTACTTACTGGGTACCAGATTCTGGGTATACAAATTCAGTATGACTCAGTCCCAGGCTTAGAGAATTTCACTTCTAGGGAAGCCAGACACATACATGATGATGAGAATAGCTCAGTCTCCAATTTCTACAAGAAGAGGCTGAGATTCAGAAGGCGAACTAATTTGTCTACAGTCACCCAGCGAGTAAGTGGTCCAGGTAGGATTCCACCCTGAGTCTAGCCCGGAGCCTGGAAAACAAGCCTGTCTCAGTGCTGCCCTTGATGCTACAGGGGAGGTATATGAGGCCCAGAGGATGAGCCTTGTGTGGGAACTCCTGGGAGACATCTGTGGGGTCTGCTGTGGGTCACTCTCCAAAGTCATTAGTCACGGAGACCTTAAAGACTGAAGAATGATGGAAATTAAGAGGGTTTATTTTCCCATGATTTTTCCAGATACCTCTGATGAGAGCAGAGACATAAGCAAAGTGCCTGCCACGAATGGGGCCTCTCAGCCACATGCCTGGTATGGTCCTCAGTGAGGGTGACACCTGCTGGGGCTGTGGACATGGCTGTCTAGGCCTCTTGCCCCACAGCCATGTCCCCATAGTGGGTGTAGAGCCCTAAGGGCCGTATGGTCCAGCCTCAGCCATTCTTGCTGCTGAAACATCCTCATTGAGAAGACCCATGCAGCATTCTGCTCTCTTGGGACTAGAGGGCAGGACCAGGGCAAGGAGGGTGTTTGTAGTATGCACATGCCTCTACATGAATGGTGGCCCCCAACATATATCCATGCCCTAAAGCCTGGAGCCTGTGAATGTGACCTTATTTGGGAAAAGGATCTTTGTAGATGTAATTAAGTTAAGGATCTTGGTAGAAGATCATCCTGGATTGCCTGGGTGGGCCCTAAATCCAATGACCAGTGTCCTTATAAGGAGCTGAAGGTTTGGGACCCAGACATATGGAGGAGGGGCCATGTGAAGACAGAGGTACAAACTGGAATGATATGGCCACAAGCCAAGGGACATCTGGAGCTTCAAGAAGCTGGAAGAGGTTAAGGAAGAGCCCCTCCCCTAGAGGGACCTTAATTTTGGATTTCTGGCTTCCAGAACTATGAGACAATAAATATCTGTTGTTTGAAGTCCCCCACTTGTTACAGTAGCCTCAGTAAATGAACACAGACTCCCTTGTGTAGGCAAGTTGTCACACAGAGCAGACATTCTGGAAATATTTGTTGAATGTGCTGAGACCTGAGCCTCGCTGCTCCTCGGGCATCAGACTCAACCTCTTTGTACCCCAGTGAAGGGGACTGGTTGACCTGTTCCCTTGGGGCTTGTAACACACAGAGGGCAGAACAATCTCTTTTCCAGGTAAGTGCTTGCTGACTGTCTATCTATCTATCTATCTATCTATCTATCTATCTATCTATCTATCAATTTGAGACAGAGAGGAGAGAGAGAGAGAGAGAGAGAGAGAGAGAGAGAGAGAGAGCAAGCAGGGGAGGGGCAAAGAGAGGGGGAGAGAATCTTAAGCAAGCTGCATGCTCAGTGCTCAGTGCACAGCAAGATGTGGGGCTTGATCCCATGACTGTGAGATCATGACCTGAGCCAAAGCCAAGAGTCAGATGCTTAACTGACTGACCCACCCAGGCACCCCAGGGGGAGTACTTTTTAAACTCTGACATGTTCACAGGGCTCGGGGAGCTTGTGAAAATGCAGAAGCTGACTGGGGCCTGAGGTGCTGGATTTCCAACCAGCTTGCAGGGGGACCACACTTTGAGTAAACAGGCTGAAGGATTCCCTCTTCTCCTAGACCATGGGACATGAGGGACAGCCTCAAGTCAGCACTGCTGTGTCAGTTGCCTAGGGCTGCCGTGAAAAAGTGCCACCAACTGGGTGACTGGAAGCAGCAGGTATTTACTCTTTCACAGCTCTGGAGGCCAGAAGTCTGAAATTGAGGTGTCAACAGGGCCCTGCTCCCACTGAAGGGCCACAGGGGAGGATCTTCTCGCCTCTTCCAGTTCCTAGTGGCCTCAAGAATTCCTGGACTTGGGGCCACATCACTCCAACCTGTGCCTCTGTCTACACCTGGCTTTCTTCCCTTGTCTCTCTGTGTCTTCTCTTCCTCCTATAAGGACGCTAGTCATACCCAGATGGTCTCATCTCAAGATCCTTAACTAATTACATATGCAAAGACCCTGCTTCCAAATATGATCATATTCTGAGGTTCAGGGTGGACGTAAATTTTGAGAGGACACTACTCAAGCTACTGTGGTTGCCCACGACAGATGGAGTGAGGGACCTTCTCACCCCACGAACACAAAGCTTCCACAAATGACCTTGACCTCGGGTAGAAATGATTTTGTCTTATCCAAGGCTTGGTTTAGTTGGGATTTCATTTTCCTCTTCATAAACCCCAGCCCCAATCACCAGAAGGTACCGATTCCTGGGGCTGTGTGGAGGGGCCCGGAAAGGCCTGGGGGGCTGTCTGGGTGGAGGGAGTTAGCACAGAGAGTCCCCTCCCAGACCCACTGTTGTTAAGCAAATCACTACACTTCTATGGGCTTCCTTTTCTGAGTCAAGGAATGAGAAGGTGGCATAGGATGGGCCATTTTGGAAAAGGGAAACTTTTTACAGAAATGTATCTGTATGTCTTAGGTGAACAGCACAATGTTCTTAAACTGCTCACTGCTCTGTGATTGACACCGAGATCAAGAAACAGCATCTCTGGCCCCCAGAGGCCCCTGATAGGAACTATCGCCCTCTTCCAACAGAAATCACTCTCTTGACTTCTAACAGTACAGGTTAATTTTTTTAGTTGAGGTGAACTTTCTAGAACATACAATTTACCATTTTAAAGTGAAACTCAGTGGCCACTGGACATTCACGATGCTGTGCAACCACCACCTCTATCTAGTTCTAGAACATTTTTATCCCCCCAAAAGGAGGCCCCATATCCACAGTCACCCCCGCCTCCGCCCCAGCCCCAGGTAGCCACCAATCTGAGATCTGTCTCTAACAGATTTGCCCATTTATGACATCCCGGTATGTGTGGAATCTTACATTATGTGACCTTGTGTCTGGCTTCTTTCACCGAACGTCATGTTTTTGAGGGTCATCCACGGTATAGCAGGTGTCAGGGCTTAGTTCCTTTTTATGGCTAACTCGTATTCCACTGTATGGATGAACCAGTTTAGCTAGTCACCCGCTGAGGCACACTTGGGTTGTTTCCCCTCTTCATATTTTATGTAATAGAGTCACACAAGTACGGGTTCTTTTGGGTTTGGCTGTCGCTGAACATAAAGTTTTTGAGGTTGGGGAAACATTTTGAGGTCTTTCCTCTGGCACCCTCTGTCCTTCGTGGCAATGGGATGGGGGTTCTGGCAGTCAAGACATGTGGCTCCCCAAGAAGGTCCAGGTGGGAGATCTAGCTCCCTGGCTAATACTGGAAGGTGGTGGGGGAAGGTGGAGGAGTGTGTGGGGACATGTCATGCCAGACTGTGGGCCGCCTCACCCCTACAAGCCTCACCTGTGCAGGGCCTAGCCTAACCCAGACATCTTGGCCTGTTCTTAGATCCCACTGACGGGAGGTCCCTGTGTAATGACCTAACGGCTGGCTGTTCCTTGTCATGAATTATTCAGTTAATGGAAGCCAAGTGTTTCTTACCTGGTGCTTCAATTAATTGCTTGTAAACGCTCAGGAAAGCTGCCTCGGCCTCCTGACTTCTCTTACTAAGGGCCACCACCTTTGGAAACAAGAGAAAGAGTCATGTGTAATCATGGCATCTGAGTCTAGAAGAAAATAGGATCATTTTCTGTATCTGCAAACATAGGATGGGGAGGAGGAGGGGAAATGAAAGTCAAAAGTGTAGAGATTAGAAAGTCCCGGTTCAAGGGTACCTGGGTAGCGCAGTTGGTTAAGCATCTGACTCTTGATCTCACCTCAGGTCATGATCTCACAGTATGTGAGTTCGAGCCCCGCACCGGGATCTGCGCTAACAGGGTGGAGCCTGCTTGGGATTGTGTCTCTCCTTCTCTCTGCCCCTCCCCAGCTTGTGCTCTCTCTCTCTCTCTCTCTCTCTCTCAAAATAAATAAAGACACTTAAAAAATAAAAAAAAGAAAGTCCACATTCAAATGCTGGCCGTACTGGATCCTAGCTATATGACCTTGGGCACATCACTGGCCCTCTCTGATCCTCAGTTTCCTCAGCTGGAAAATGGGTGAAAACTAGAACCTCCTATAAATAGGCCTCCCAGGCCTCTTATGGGGACTGAATGAAGCTGCATGTTAAGTGTTTAGCACAGGGCCTGCAACAGAGTATTTTACTAACAGCTATTATTATTATCGCTGTTATTAAAGGGTAATGCTGGAGATTCAAATATGACACATGTTCTGGGGGAAAGTGTGACACATCTGGGGAACATTCCTAGCTACTGAGAATTAAAGAGAAATTGTTAAAGCTCTCATAAGATGGCAAATAACTCAACACATGATTCCTGACTGATGAAAACACAAATGGCTGAATGACCCAGTGGTGAAGAGTTCATTCATGCATTTGTTCTCTTGCTCACAGACTTTCTTCACTCTGCCGGTGAGGTTCCATAAGATGAATTTCAGCAAGACATTTCTGGGACATAGTGCCATCTCATCCCTCTCTGCTCCTGGCTACGAATTCTGAGCTCTGGCCTCACAGTGGCCTTGATGCTGGCTCTTGGTAGCCAGTCCCCTTGGCACAGTCCTGGGCCACCCCAGCACATGGCTAGAGCGAGGTCCTTATCCACAGGCCGCCATCCCTACATCCTTGGGAATATTCGGGGCTGGGTATCCCCCTTTGGACTGGAACATCCTTATTCTCTGATACTGATATACCTCTCCCTCTGGTGCCAACTTCTTCAATGATGAATCTATGGGGAATATCCACGTGTAAATCACCCTCTTTCAAAGTTGCGCTTTTCTTCTGAATCCCAGTGATGTCATTTGGAGGAGTGTCTGTTATCAAATTCCTTCCCTCGATGTGAGCTCTGTGAGTACATTGTCTGGTGCACAGAAGGTACTCAACAGAATTTGCTGAATGAACAAATCTAAGCGGGTTGCACCAACTCAAGGTCCTGCCTGTGATGCCATCCTGGAAATGAGAGGGGCCAATTCTGAGACAGTTCATTCAAAGAAGTGGCCAACTAAGGCACAGGCCTTGGGATCAGGTCACCTGGGTTCAAATTCCAGCCCCACTACTTACTGTCTTTGTGTCCTGGAGCAGATAGGTCATTTCAATCCCTATGTCTCTACTTCCTCCTCTGTAAAATGAGGATAATAACATCACACCCTCCCTTGCTGGAGGATCAAATGACTTAACACATGTAACGCCCTTTGTAAAACTCATGGGATGCATTAAGTCGCATATATGTCACCTCTTGGTATGACCGACCCCTTCCTTCTTGCCTGTTAATGGGGACAGGTTCTGTCCAGCGCCGGATGATCAGCCTCAGGTGCACTTATCTGGTGTGATACAAAGACCACCTGAGAAGGCCCTGCCTCCACACACAGCACACTGGGAAGAATTCAAAAACCACAGAGGTTCCCCTAAAGCTTCCAATATGGCAGCCAGAAATCACATGTGGCTACTGAGTACTCGAAATGTGGCCAAGTCCAAATTGAGATGTGGTGTGAGTGCAAAATACACACAGGGTTTCAAAGACTTAGTAGAAATAATAATAAAAAAATGTACAACAGCTCATCGGCATTTTTTATATTGATTACATGTTGAAGTGATAACATTTTGGATATTCTGGGTCAAATAAAATTTTTTATTAAAATTCATTTCACCTGTTTCCTTGTACTTGTTTTTCAATGAAGGTACTACAACATGTAAAAGTACATCCATGGATCACATTATATTTCTATTGGACAGCATAGCTTGAAGGTTTTACAAGGTCCACAGAGAATTCATTATTTAAGAGGTAGAGGGAAATGTATGGTTCATGTTGAGTAAATGATTTTATTATTTTTTTATAAGCATTATTTTTTTAAATGTTTATTTATTTTTGAGAGGGAGAGTGCAAGCAGGGGAGGGGCACAGAGAAGGGGACAGAAGATCCAGAGTGGGCTCTACACTCACAGGAGCAAGCCTGATATGCAGCTCGAACTCACAAACTGTGAGATCATGACCTGAACCAAAGTCAGATGCCCAACTGACCGAGCCACCCAGGCGCCCTGAGCAAATGATTTAAAAAAGGTCAGTATCAAAAGTTCCTTAAGTCTCTTGCTGTTATTCTGAGAACAGCCTCCAGTATTTTTTTTTTAATTTTTAATGTTTTATTTTAATTTGAGAGACAGAGAGAGAGAGAGAGAGAGAGAGAGAGAGAGAGAGAGAGAGAGAGAATCTGAAGCAGGCTCCAGGCTCTGAACTGTCAGCATGGAGCCTGACGTGAGCTGTGAACTCACGAACTGTGACATCATGACTTGAGCTGAAGTCAGATGCTCAACCGACTGAACTACTCAGGTGCCCCTAGTCTCTGGTCTTTTAAATTCCAGAGTGAATGACAGTCTTTCATTCATTCAGCAAATATTTCCTGAGCACCTGCTATGTGCCAAGCACCGTGGGCTGAGAACTCAGTGATGAATAATGCAGACTTGAGTCCTACCCTCATGGGACTCACAGTCCAGTGGGGAGATTGACATCAAAGCAGATTCTCCAGATAACTCATTAACTACAAGTGCTAAATGCTTTGAAGGAAATGTACAAGGGGGCTTTGAGAGTGTGTAAGTGGGGAGGGTGACCCCACTTTGAGAGGGGTGACCCAGTTTGGTGGGTGGAACATTAGGAACTGTCTCCTGGAAAAGAAAAGGCAATGGTAAACATAAAGAATGTTCCAGAATCTAGGAAAGGTAGAAAATCTACCAAGTGCAGGTAGATTTTAGTTTTTGCCGAGATGGACAAGACACAGTTTCTGTTCTGGGAACTCAGAGCTAAGTGGGAGACACAGCTACACCCAAGGGGAACCATAATAAGACAGGAGGTGATGCAAACGCTGGAGTCTCTAATGTGATGAGGGAACAATTAATTCAGAGTTTGTGGGGGGGGCATCCTTGATGGGCTAATAAAATAATAATAAAATTATAACATTCAGCATTTACCATGTCCCGGATGCTCTTACTATCCACGATCATCTCTCCCCACGGACACACCAATCATTGAAGGTCATTATCCCCACTATGCAGATGAGGAAACTGAGGATCAGAGACACTGAATAACTTGCCAAAGATCACCCAGTAGGTAAATGGCAGAGCAGGATTCATGCCAGGTCTGGGGGTTCAAATTCCTACTCTGAATTCAGATGCTGGCCCCTTTCTCCTGGATAGAAAAACCCTCAGCCAGTGGGGATAGTCACTCAGACCCCACGTGCAATCTTATGATATCATCTATGGCTGTACCAAGACACGGACTGCTGTGCTGCTGATCTGCAGCCCAGGAAAAGCCATGAGAAATGGAAGCAATTCATCTCCTGATCCCTAGATGGAAAATTATCAAAGATCAGACCGCAAAGTCTGAATGCTTCATTTTACAGTCATCCATGCTGAGCATGTGTGGTGAATGGGGTTTGGGGAAAAGTCTAAGAATGTTCCACTGACTTCTAAAAAGGAACTCTGGCAGGGGTGAGGGAAGTGCCAGAAGATTCCTTTAATGTTTCCCTGTCCTTGCCTATAGTAACCTCTGCTTTCTGCTCATGGTGCTTATCAGTTTGTAAGGGAGTGTTATTTATCTGTGTGACTGTCTCCTTATACTATTGGTCTGCCCATTAGAGCTACACTGTCCAATAAAGTAGCACTAGCACATGTGGTGACTGAGCACTTTGAAATGTGACTATTCCAAATTCAGATGGGCTGTAAGTGTAAAATATGGGATTTCCAAGTCTTAGGATGAACAAAGGTTGTAAAATATCTAATTTTTTATACCCATTTTATGTTAAAATGATGACATTGTACATACTGGGTTAAGTAAAATATATTATTAAAATTAAATTCACCTGTTTCTTTTTACTTTTTAATGTAGCTATTCAAAAATTTAGATTACATATGGGGCTTGCATTACATTTCTACTGGACAGTGTTGGTCTAAATCAAGGGGTGGTAAACTATGGTCCTTAGTCCGATTCTGGCCCTTCACCTGTTTGTGTAAATAAAGTTTTATTGGATTACAGTTGCAGCCATTCTTTTATTTATTGTCTACAGTTGCTTTCATGCTATAATGGCTGAGCTCCTAGTTGTGACTAAGACTCTGGCTGTAAAATAAAAAATATTTGGGGTGCTTGGCTGGCACAGTCAGTAGAGTCAGTAGATCTCAGGGTCATGAGTTTGAGCCCCATGTTGAGGGTACAGATTACTTAAAATAAAATAAAATAAAATAAAATAAAAAATATTTACTATCTGGTGCTTCATACAAATGTTTGCTGATCCCTGCTTCAGAGACTCATCTAATGGCTAGATAGTATTTTCAAAAGCAGAGATCTAAAAACATCTTGGAACAGCCCTCAGTTTTAATCAGTTCAAGTTTAGGACTTCCCACAGTAAATATGACTTGAAGACAGTAGCCATGGGGATGCCCTGCTTGTTCAGTCTTGTTTTAGAGCAATGACTTTGTTTCCAGAATACCAGGTCAAAATTCCTAATGGCATTAGAGCCCGATCCGGTGCTGGGCCTAATGTCATTAAGCATCTCTTGGTCTCAGTTTGTTGATCCATCAAGTGGG